ATTGAACACCCCCAAAGTTTGCGGCATTGGGTCCAAACAATACTACTGGAATGGCCAAACTCCAAAGGACAACTCCCAGTCAAAGATCTGTCGAAGCAATACAAGAGAAGCGGGACACAACAAACAACAAACAGCTACTGGACGACTTGAAATAAAAACTGTATTGTACATTACTGTACTATCTTGCAGTACGCGTGGCGGCTCCAGGAGTACACGCATGCCTCGACAAATGTCATTTTGAATTGCATCTCGTTTCTGCCCTGGCGATCCTCATCTGTGACAGAGTAGAGAACTCCACGTTGGCGGCCCACAACTCCCAGAGCTTCTTATTGGAGATGATCTGGGTAGTCTTTCGGCCTCAAGCCCAGCGTGGAATCCTCCACCAGCTTCATTGAGCTCATCTTTTCCTGCTTGATGCTTGCCACATTGGTCACGGCGCATCGCTGCAAAGCCCGATCTTGTGCAAAAAAGCGACACGGCGAGAGATCAAGTTCCTGGTCAAAAAGGCTCATCGGCGAGCTTCCCGTAATCCGCAATGTTTGCTGTGTACGAAAAATCTCAACCTTTCTAATTTTTCTCCGGAAAAATCAACATGTGATCGTTGTGTGCGAGCAATTTACTGCTTACATCACAAATTGATTACCCAAATCTCCTCAAATTGATTCCCCATCGGTGCGGGAATCCCGGGGAAATCAACAGTCACCAAAAAACACACCCAATGGATCCTTCAAAATCACCATGAAATCCCATGAAATCAGTATTTTTTGGGACTTAGACCATCCATGAAAAATCACAGGAACATTAGATTGGCTTCCGAAATGGTTAGTCAATAGTTATCAATCCGAAATAATCACCAATCCATCATAATCTATGAATGATATTCCCATATATTAACATAAACTAACTATACCGAACCCCCATTGTCCTCATAACACCATGAAATTCCCATGCGCAGCACCTGCAAAGGTAGCACTGGACGTAGGATGCTCCGGCGGCACTGGGCGTCGGGGGGAAGGTGCGTTTTGCACCAAACATGGCTGGGAAATCCCCGAGGAGGTTTATAGCTGGGAAGATCATGCAATGTGGGGCCCCCATGTGAACGTTGGTTTATAAACCCCAATAACTTTATAATAGTTATTTGCGTACCATAAACCATAGTTATTGAAGTTATGTGCACCAACTTAGCTATCATAAACGGGGCCCCACATTGTGGGAACCATAGATTCAATGGGATTTCAGGTGCTTAGGAGATGCTGAGTTCCAACGGGCTTCCTATTGAGCATGGAACACCCATAGCTCCGAACCGCTGCCTCCGAAGCATCGAATAGAATATCACAAGAGACATTCAATTTATGACTGGGATATGGATGATGGTGAGATTCTGAAATGCTGAATCTTGCCAATCTTGGAGCGGCCCTGTTAACACAGAACGCATTTGTGACATTTGTGAATCTGGTTAGCATATATTCCGATATGTATAGTGGAAAAAAGGAGCTAAACTGCACATCCAAGGTTTTCCCAGATGCCGTGCCCGGTTGGCTAAGCGACTTGTGACTGAGCACCTGAGCACCACATTTGTTGTGGATTTAAGCAGCAAAGTGTTCAGAATTCACCAAACACCTGGTATGTTCTTGGTAATCATCCCCTTCTTACGAGGAGGTGCTTGCCAATATCATCATTTTCTAAAAGAAAATTGACCCCTTTCCAGTAATTACACCTACTGGTTGGTTGATGAATAGAAGGTTTGCCCCCATTCGACAACCCCACAACATCCTTTATTGGTAGATCAACATCCATCCCACAAGAATCCTTAGTGCGAAAATGACCGTAAATGACCGTATGTATGACCTATTGATCAAAATCCTGGTATTCCATAGGGTTTCCTCCCAAGTGGCCAGCAGTTGTGTTTCGCTTCGTCACTCCATCGGTGCCCCACAAATCTGACTGATTTTCATGAACTAAACCAACTTAGCTCAATCCCATGAAACCACCCTCGGATATCTTAGATCCCCATGACTTTGCCGCTACCATAACTCGGGGACCGTGGGCCCGCGCAATTCCAGCTGCGTATTGCAGTGATGGCACCAGAGCCGTGGATTCGCCGGTGGAGGAGCGATGGAGTCCGCGCCCGCCACACCGTCGATGGTCCTGGGAGGGAATGGAATGGTTCTTTGGGGTGCATCCCAGTTAGTAAGGGTCTAGAATCCAAATATCATATATATATACATACACATAGTATAATCTTATCTTATATTATCTTGTCTTGTATTGTATTATATGATATTATATTATATTAAAAATCAAATAATATTATATTATATTAAATTAAATTATATCATATTGTATTAAATTAAATTATATTATATTATATTATCTTATATTATATTAAACTATGTTATATTATATATGATATGATATTACATTAAATTAAATTATATATGATATTATATTTTGTATTAAAAATGAAATATTATATATCATGTATTATATTATAAATATAATATAATATATAAGATATTAAAAACTATATTATATAATATAAATTAAATTACATATTATACATAACATTATATTATATATATCTGCAACTATGTATATATATGTATGTATATATATATATATGTATATATATATATATTTATAAATGTATGTATATAAATATAATATTATGTATGTAGCCCGTAAAACACATAATATTTCCATGGCTGGCAAATACCAGGGTTATCACCACTTGGTAAGTGAAATAAACAAATTGGGAAAGCGAGGTGATCGACATCGGAATAATCACGGCGAATTGTTGGCTTCATATGTGAAAGTCCAACTGCAACTTAGGCCTATTATAATGGGATTTGAGAGTTTTGGATATGGAAATGACTTTTGGATAATTTGGGAAGAACTCACTTAGTGTTGATTTAATGGGGATTAACGGGATTAGATGGGATTTACCCTGTGGTAAATTAGCATAACTATGGAAAATCACCATTTGGAATAGGTAAATCAAGTATTTCTATGGCCATTTTCAATAGCTATGTTAGGTACAATGTGGGGCCCCCCAGTTATGTTTGTTGGTTTATAAACCCCATCAACTAGTTCGTTATTTGCGTATGATAAAGCATAGTGAGTTATTGGAGTTATGTGGCCCCCAACTTAGCTATTGGTTATAATTTGGTTGTAAACTCATTAACTATAGATATATCACTTATAAACCACAGTTATTGGGGTTATAAACTGACCCTATCATAAATCAGAGGGTAATGGGATATGTAACCAACAATCTACTTGCCGGTGAAGTACCTACCCTTCACCACGGCTTCCCCCACACTGGGTTGTTATTTTTGGAAGTTAAGTCATGATCGAAGAAGAACATCGGGATGTAACTAACAAACCTTAAACAGGTTTCCCGTTGTATTGGATTAAGAAACCTGGTTTGAGAATTCGAATATAGATTAACCTGACTTCTTTGTGCAACAAGGCACATTGCAATTTCACCAATGAAATGCGCGGGGAGTTACATACTATAGTAACCCCCGAAAGGATAGGAACCTGTTTCCAGGATGCTAGTTCGATGATAGTCCCCTCATATAAAACCAACTTTTCCAACCTGTCGATGGTTGCGAAATCCTTCCTCACCTAAAGGATGGTTTTTCAACCCTATAAAAAAAGGGATTTTTACATGGATAAACCACCTATCAACTGGTGGCTTTCGATTTCGCATCCACCGTATCGCTTGGGTGCCAGGATGCCAGGGGCGCACAATGATGCTTGAGTCACTTGAGCTGACTGGAAAGCAGCTGGAAAATGTGCCACAACTATTGAACATGGCCATCGATAACATGTATAGTTCTGGTGATTGTATCATAGTTATGATATCTAATTATTCTGGTTGGTGATTTCAACCCCTCTGAAAAATATGAGTTCGTCAGTTGGGATGATGACATTCCCAATATGATGGGAAAGTCATAGAATTCATGTTCCAAACCACCAACCATTTATAGTTGATTTACCTCATCAAACATGGCTGTTTTTCCTTGTGATGTTGGGTGTTATTCCCCAGCTGGCCGAGGCGCCCGTCGGGATTCTCAACGAAGAAAATGGGAAGCTTGTCCTGAAAGGAACGCTGCGCGCAAACGCTGGAAATCTGCGCAGGAATTTTCCGCGAAATCGCTGGGACCCGCGATTCAGAATGGGAACGGGAAGAACTATAGACCCCCATACTAGTCGGACGCCATACTGTTCTCAAAGTATACTAGCAACACTTATAGGGACTTAGATTAGTATGGGTTATCGTAGAGCCCCTCATAATTTCGCTAGTAGTTAAGTCCCTATATTCACCAATAAACAATCACCAATCAGTTTTTTTTAATGGCTGAAGTGAGATCGAAGTAAATTGGCCATTGCCATAAGCGATGTTCAATTACCAGAAGCTAAATCGATTGTCGGTGATATGTATATATGAATCCCATGATATTTAAGCTAACATAGGTATGCAAAATCACCATTTTGAATAGGCAAACCAAGCATACATTGCCATTGTCAATGGCTATGTTAATTTACCAAAGGGTAAAGCCTATTATATCTAGTCCCATCAATATCCACATTTTGTTGGTTCATCCTCATTAATCATCATACATTCCCTTAAAAAAATAAACAGCCCATCACCATAATGGGACATAATCTTCATTATATTCCCAATTACCCAATAATATCCTCATAAATCATTATAAGTCCACATTGTTGTTGGTTATTTGTTTAAAGCCACAGGCTATTAATATATTAACAGTAACACATTCAATAATTATGTAACTATATGGTTATTCAATAGCCCATGATATACCCATCATATACCCCTGATATCCCCTTGAGATACCCACTGGGAAACACACATAACTATGGAAAATCACCATGCTATTGATGGGTAAATCAACTAGAGAGTATCCCCTTGATGTCTATTCCAAGAATCTGCTTCCACCGCCATGGCACGCAAGTGCAAGCTTACGTTGCGCGAGGCGCGAGGCTTGGCGCCGCAAAAGGTTAAACACAAAAACTCATGGGGACCAGCACCTGGCATGTTTTGATGCTAAGAAAAGTGAGTTGGACTGAATTTTGGAGGGTTGAAGATGGTTTTGACTATGGTTGAATCGCTGAATTATGGATGGTGAAATTGTTAAATTCATTCAAATCTCGATATGCTGCCGGTAAATTTGGTTGGTTTGGTTCAGCGAATGCACCATTGATCAATCCTAGGCGTTAGATCCCAATGTTTTTGGGCACGGTGGGCACTCAGTTGTGAGGAAAAGACGTCCATGTATTCTTGACAGGGAATTAATGAATTAACTAGAGTGATTAGACCTCTGAAATAGATTTTGACATTGGCACATACTGTTGATTTTCTTCCTTTTTGTGATGACTCATGACTAGATGCAAATTACCTGTGGGTCATGCGTCAACAGCTAATTTGATACTGCACGGCTGCCATCGGAAAATGGCGAAATAATTACGCCAGGGATCTCTGCTGAAAATCGTGGCCACCGTTGGATACCCTGAAGAAAACCATGATTTTGAAACTGGGATTCACATTCCTCCATTACGAAAAAATATCCGTAGGTCTCCTACATGTTTATCCCATCTGTGATGTTTTCATCCAATGATGCCTATATCCCTTTTGGCTCTCCGGTTTTAGAACTTTTCTTGGTTCCTCCGGGACGATATGCGGATCGCGTGAATTTTCTGAACCATTTGAAGGAAATTCCCAGTGCCATGGGTAAAAAAAATCCAATTTGTTCGGAATTTTCACACTGGAACATCAATCATCCTGGAAATCATGGGTGATTTTCCATTGCCAGTTTTGTTCATTTGATAATGTTGAAATCAGAGCCTAGTGGTGAAAAGTAAATACAGTCTGGTGGTGATATGCAGCATGTGAGTTCACCAGTGATTCTGAAAATTGGCTCGCCCATTCTTTTAACATGGCCCATTCTGACTCTTGACTCTCTGAATTTCAAAGACGGGAAACATGTCTGATGGCAGTATCCAAGACTGAAAGTAACATTTTTCAATGGACTGATTTAATAGAAATTTGTCAGGGGAGAATGGCTTTTAGCTGCGATTTTTGAAGGGTCACCTGTAGTAAATTTCCAACAAAGGCCAGGATTTTTGATCCAGTTTGATCACATCTTTTCAGTTTGACCCTCAATAAAGGAGATAACATGTTGCAGCTCCCTCCCCTTTATCCCTTGATGTTTATTGCCAACTTTTTTGGTTGTCAAAAATCACATACCTAGACCGAAATGGCAGCTCATCCAATATTGTCCCAAAGAAATCATCACGAATCCCCACACTCATCCCAAATCAGCCAATGTCTCAGGATATACAAAGAAGCGTCGGGTTGGAACATATAAGATACCATAATGTATACTTAATAAAACGATGCATTTGAACATACATATTATCACCCATCATCTCGTTTTTTAAAATCTCCCAGAAGGCTGTCACATCATCCTTTTCTTAATCAATCCATTGATCCTCCCAGAGATTTGCGGTTGGTGCCCCAGAGTTCCTAGTTGCTTTGTAACTCCTAGGGTATATGGGTGGATACATCTGTCCATGGGGGTTATGAGCAAACGAAAAAAGCTGAGGGGGGTACTACCTTGTACTGGCTAAGACTGGAATCCTCATTATGAGTTATGATTCTCAAAAAATCAGGTACCCTCTGGTAACCTAACATAGCTATGGAAAATTGTCATTTATATATGATATACCCATTAAATATGGTGATTTTCAATAGCTAGGTTAAATTACCAGAGGGTAATATCAACCCCCCAGCAGCCATTATCCCACATCACACAATTAGTTATCCAAGATTTTAGGATTGCATAAGATTATTGGAAGACAAAACAATGTAAATTACCACCCGGTTATTTAACATAGCGGACTGGAAAATCCATGACAAATGGAGGTTTATAGCTGGGAAAAATCATCTGTAAATGAGCAATTTTCCATGGCAAACTGTTAGTCATAACCAGAGGGTACCATTTTTACCCACAGGATCTCCCAGGAACTTGGGGTATAAGCCATCTAGAATCATGAACCAGCAATCATTCATCAGATTTGATCAGTTTTTACATCCACATATATTTTTCATGCTTACAAGCCCTTGAAATGATGATTAAATCGATCCATTGATTGTCCTATACCTTTTTTGGATTGTGAGACTATTGGCAACGTTAAAAGACTCATGCTGCCTTTCAGCCATTAACCCTGCCTTTTATCCCAGATATTTGGAAGATAAAACAATACTCTATATCGAATAATGCTTGGAAAAAAACAATACTCTATATCGAATAATGCTATACATCAAATATCATATATAACAAAATATTTTATAGTATTTTATATCCATTATAGGTCGAATATCACACTATACCATCTGGTTATTTTTCACATAGCGAACTGGAAAGTCCATCCATTTTGAAGTTCGGTAAACCATCTATTTCCATGGGCCATTTTCCATAGCAAACTGTTAGTTTACCAGAGGGTATTCAAATTATTTTTCCATTTCATATATGGGATGTCATCCTTCCCATTGACTAATATTTTTCAGAGGGGTTGAAACCACCATATTTGGGATGCTCAGCCACCGGGGGCGACTTTTTGGCCTCGCTGACCATCGGACCCGGCCACTCCGCACTGCCGCCGTTGAGCGGACACTGGGAGGAACTCGGCAGATCCAGCGCCGTGGTCCGTGGCCATGGCACGGGAAGGGATCATCAACATGGGGAAATTCACTATGAACATGTAGTCAACGGCCATTTCAGGAACCTAAATTGGAGGTACCTACCATATATAAGGCCTGTATAAGGCCTATGTAAGGGGATATACCCCCAGAATATGGCCTTATATGGTACAGTACCTCCATTTTAGGATCCTGGAATGACCATTGATGTAGGAATTAACAACACCACATATTTTTAGGGCTTTAACCAATCAACATATGGAATTTAAGCATCAAATGAGATTAACTCTACTTTTAGGGAATTACCATCACTTAGACATTGGTTGGAAAAACAAATTCATTGTCGCTCATATCATACCATGATGGAATCAAATGAAATGACTTATCAAACATGCGGTTGCACCAGCAACATGTTTAAGCTTCAACTAATCAACATATGGAATTCAATCATCAAATTAAACTAGCTCAGTCTCCTTCTTGTATACTTGTACCCAAGGGGTGGATACCCCAACTCGGATGGCTCAACCAGCAGCAGTTTAAGGTGGGCGTTTCAGGTTGGATCCCGCAAGCCTCCGTTTCGAAGTTCTGAATTGATGTTAACAAACCCTGGTTGGTGGTTGAGCCACCTGTCTGAAAAATGATGGAGTTCGTCAGTTAGGATGATGACATTCCCAGCTGAATGGAAAAATGTTCCAAACCACCAACCAGATCATTATTAACCAATATTCATACTCAATTTTGACAGCCATCATTATCATCCACTAATGATCATTAATGATGCCTCACATATTTCGGTATTGCAATGGGGTCATCGCTAGGATATCACCTTCTTTTGCTGCTCCCATTGACGTCATGGCGGACCACGGGCCAGCCAGGCTTGAGGCGTTTGTAGCCCCGTACGCACATTTTTTTCGCGCTCGGCTGATCAAATAATCCTGGGATGGGACGAAACAGAAGGAACCACTGGATGGGGGTACATATGGATATATACGTGCGAATTATATATATATATAATTATATATTTTATGTGTGACTAATAAATCAACACACATATATGTATATATAGATATGTATATATATGTATAATATCAATATCATTATAGGATCAGAAATGGGACATACAGCACCACCAATATTTGCCGGCAGCATCGAGGAACCTCCCATCAGCGAAAACCACATGGAATGGTGATACCCCAAACCCTGAATGAGTTGCTTGGAGGATCATCCCACTTGGTAATTGCCTAGTAACCAGAGTAGTCGGATTCGGATTACCCACGAATCAGGGACTTACCAGGGTTGCTAACTGCTAAAACTTCGCGAAAACTTGTCTCGGGACTGGGTGGCGAGGGGGGAACCAGGGGAGCAGCTCTTGTCAACGTCTTCACCGAACATGACACTACTGTCACTACTGGATGCAATCAGTGCTCACAAAATTCACAAAATATCCTTGCAAATCTTCGATGCTGCGCAAAATATTATAATTCTTAATAGTATGTACTCCCATCAAAATGGCATAAATCTTCATGGACCCATATAAGTCATATCCCCATCGCACAGGATTATAGCCTACTAAACAAACCTTTTTGTTGGTTCAATTCGATTTCCTGATCGTCTTGAAACAACTATGACCTATATTTTGCGGGTGAATTTCCACTTTCTCATCCGTCATGGGTCCATAGATAGAAATCATATGACCAACCCCATTAAATAATACAAAAACACATTTTTTGCTGCTTAAATTCCATTCATAGAAAGAAAGACGGATGTTTATCCGATTAGATCCAAGCAAATACAAATTACAACCAATTCAATTCCATCAATTCCATCAAATCCCATGAGAGGCCAGTGAATCCCAATAAATCCCCATATATCTTCAATGAAATCCCATGAAATCACCATGTAATATCCACCACTTTTGAATCACAGCAATGCCTCACTTCTCATGGGTTCCCTGAGTCTCCTGGCCTACCAGAGACCACTGGATCTGAAGCCAAGGTAATGGCCTGGTCAGTCACTTTCCTGAGATCAGCGGGTGGGTTGAATGACTCAAAATAGTTAATAGTATTGGTCCTTATATTATCATAATTAGCTAATGATTAAATATTAGTATATAGTAGCTGACTTTAGTCGAAGGAAGTTTAGAAGTCAAACTTCCGACATCTTCCGACAATATGAACAGATGAAAAGCAGAGATGGGAAGAGTCAGAGAAGAGAAGAGAAGAGAAGAAGAAAGAAGATCAAAAAGAGAAAGTCTCCGAAGAAAGTGGGCGAAAAGGTAGGAAAGTCGCGCAACGCTCGGTTTTTCC